GGATTTGCGCAGGTAAGATCTTTTAAATTTGCAACAAATATACATTCAGTGATTCCTGTCTGGTACGGAAAACATTTTGCGTGTCGAAGTGGAGAAGGATGTGGGAAAGAAAAAGGATAGGTACCTATTGTACTTCTACGATATCTTCTTGAGGTTGGTATTCTAGAAAGTGTAACTATTGGAGAAACAATAATTTCTCTTACTAAACAGATCAAAGTATGGTTACCGGAAAATCGAGATATTAGTTGCACAATTATAGGTAAATTCACGCAAGGTGGTAAGATTGACGAAAAACGTCTCACACATAGACTTGTAATAGATGAAGGTGAACTCGATTTCTTGATTAAAGATTGTACCGATGCTGGAACTTTTGCAGGTAGGGAAAAATGTCCACTCGAATTTATACTTACGTATTATGAGGGCCATCAACCTCAGTACACGCATTTGCGAGCCTCAATGTTAGCATATGCGCATATCAATTTGTTAGAGATGCTTCAGAGATTCGATCCTAATGAAGTAGTAAGGATTGCTACAGATTCTATATATGTACGAAAAGAGGCTTTATATAAGATCGAAAATACACCAGCATTCTTCAAGCAAGTTGAGGTGAAGTCAGATCCAATTTTATGTTTACACTATCCTTCTTGTGCAATGTATACTGATCCAGAAGAACTTCTTATTCCAAAATTAGAATATGCAAAATGAATTAAAGAGTTTCTAAAAATAAGAAGGCCTTTAGTAAAATATGAATGCAAAAGACATAAACTATTTATTTGTAGATTTTGCTTTGGGGAATGGTTTTATAGACCAGACTCCTATGCTCTTTCACATCAACCGGAAGAACAAGAAATCCAGGAAATTCAACCTGGTCAATGGTGTGACAAGGACGAAAAAATATATAGATCAGATAAAATATTATATATTGGCCAAAGGATAGACATTGGGGATCGATCAAAAATATTCCAGATAGTATTGCACCAACAATTTACGATCTTATTACAAGATGTCGAAAATCGTATCTTAATGGGGGAGGAGAATCCGGTAAAACAACACGAGCAATTAGAATTTTTAAAGACATAAACATGATTATTTTCACTCATACGAACGCATTGGCTAAAGATTTTCGAGAAAAACGTAATGTAAAAGCTCAAACCTGGCATAGCTTCTTTAGATGGAATGGAGTGGGAGAGTGGACACCTGAACGCATGGAAGAGAAGAAATTTCTACGAGTTGTTATTTGGGATGAGGTATGTACAGTTCCTAAGCATATTCTTGAAATGTTTATTAATTATTTATTAGAGCATAAATGCCAGGTAATTTGTTGCGGTGACGATGCACAATCTCCACCATTCTTCGGAGAAATGCCACATAATTGGTTAAAAGAGCATGCTGATTATTACGAAGAAGTTCTAACCGATTATCGTGCAAAATGTCCTAAGTTACGTAAACTTAAAAAAGCTATGCGTCGCAAAAATAATCGAATACAATCAAAATTATTTCGAGAAATTCTTCCGACTATAGAAAAATGGGAATGTCTTGAAAAGGAATGGACTCCCTCAGATCGCATATTATCAGCACATCGCCTATCTCGAAGAATTGCATCGCAAAAATGCTTTGAACTCCATCATATTAAGTATCCAGATACACCAGTTCCATTAATATATAGGCTGAGAGATGGACGTAAACAAAACTGCCTTATCCAAATTCCCGGTTTATCCAAGAAACAAGAACTAGTAAAAAATGATATAGTATATTTACCGTTGAATACGCTTCCTGAAAATTTTATAAAAGATATATTAACTGAAGAAAAAATACTTGATTGGGATTTGGGATATGCTATGACTGTACATACTAGCCAAGGGATGACGCTTGAAGCTCCACAATGAGTTTGGGTTATCGATGAACATTTGGCGTGGGATAATCTAATATATCTTGCAGTTGGTCGTGTAGAATATTTGAGCCAGCTTATTCGGGTTGAAGGTCCCCCATTACCTCCTGAGATTAAGAAAGCAAAAAATAAGAAAGCAATCAAATGTTTATTGAGGTCATTTATTTCTGGAAAACTCGTAGGATATATGGATCAAGATAAGAAAAAAGGTCGCGAATTTGATTTATCTGTTGACTATATCCTTACATTAAAAGATTTGCAGAAAGATAAATGCGCACTATGCCTATTGAGATGGAATGGGGTTGGTATGATGCATATAATCAAGATCAATGGACAGTTGATCGAATTGATAACCAAGTAGAACATATCAAAGGTAATGTACATCTCATCTGTCTTGAATGCAATCGGAATCATAGAGTCTAGCCCACTCAATGAACCAATACAAAGACAGACACAGAGTGTCCTGATTCACAGACAATTCTTATAATAAATTTTTTTCTTTTTAATAATAATAAATATCCAATTCAGAAATTTATAGGTATGACAACGGATAACTGGCAACAAGTAATAAATTGGTAGGTGTTAGACACCGCACGTTTCGTGTAGACGTACGATTTAAATAGCGGTAAACATTTACAAAAAATCTGGTCATTTTATCAGTGCATTTAATTCATATGATACTGCATATAGTTGTGAAATTTCGGAAGAATAGATGCTAAAATAAGCAATCGATAACGTGTTCTAACCATTCTTCTTCATCAAATTCATAATCAGGGATATCTTCTATTTCGATATCAATATCTCTTAAAAAGTGTATACAGTCATCTATAAGATAATGTATATCTTTTAAAAAATTATTATACAGTATAGGGGGTTTATAAAATGATAACGAATGAAGTGAAATGAAAATATTATCAACTTGGGAATAAATAGATTTAAGTTGATTTTTTATACCAATTCCACATACATTATTTCAGCTTTCATTACAAATATTAAAACGAAATTTATATAATTTTATGAGAGCCCGAAATCCTTCTATACGCCAGGTATGATTGACTGCCAGTGCTGTGAATAGATCCTCGTCATTAGAAAAATGAAAAAGTATATTTTCCAAAATTTCAGGTATAGATAAAGCACGTGTTACAATAGAATTAGCATTAATATCCATGTTTCTATATAACAATTGAATAAAAAATCTTAGTTAATAAAATCCACACATTTGAAGATACACAACATGCATACATATAACCCACTTATACTTCCAGAGATTATTGCTGAAATTGTCTCAAAGCTTTCAATAAAGGATCTAGATAATTGTATTGAAATTAACCACACATGGTATAAAGAAATTTGTCGTGAACTTTATAAGAGGCGTAAAAACTTTAATACAAAATACTGTGATTTATTGGAGAAATTAGACAAATGCCATAGAAAATCGGATATAAATGATAATGAAATTGAGCCTATATATAATAATGCATTAATAACATTTGATAAGCTCGTAAAAGTAGAAAGGTATTTATTAAATAAAAATATGATCTTCAGTAAAAGAATTAGAAATGCGATACTGACCAATATTGAAGAAGATAATTATGGAAACCCATTAGACTCGTATAATTTTGGAGAAGATACATTCGAATATATAAAATACCTCTTCTATTGCGGAGCAGGCCAATAGGCGATGCATTGGAGATTCGAGACTCTGACTCTTCTTCGAATCATGGCTCAAAGAGCCTACGTGTATTAGAAAAAATATAAATAGATATTTAACAAATTTTTTATTTAACGAATTTATTTGCTAAATGTAGGGAAAGAGTCGACCTACTTGTCCGCCATATTATTTTTTTGCTTAGCTCGATCTACATATATAATTGCAAGTCAATTATTAAATATTACGTATATGCAAGATATATTAATCACGATACAATGCTAGCGTATAATCAAAATTTCTTGAACAATTGTATACTATTCCTTCATACATCTATATGCCCAGGCGACTCTAAAGGGTCATAATGTGTTAAGAAAATATATGTCTTCAGAAATATATAGGCGATGCATTAAATGTCAACATTGGTATAAAGGTTCGGTAAATACCTATTTAAGACATCAACAATATTGCTATCCATATTTTAAAAGACAAGCAGTACTAACTATTCAGTGAGTATTTCGTTCATGGTATCAAAAGCGAATAGATTCGGCTAAAATAATTCAGCACGCAGTAATTGAGTGGCTCTATCGATCAGGTGGCACATTAATGAAACAAGCCAAAGATCGATATTATTGCATTGCAATGGGACTTTGTCCTTATCAAAATGCGAATAAGCTTCATCATTAGATAGAACAGATTTAATTTCTGCAATTAATGATTATATCAGAGAAACTGGCAGGACTATTCCTAATCATTCATCGTGGATTATAAAATATCTTGACTAGTCGAATATATTTAATGCAGAAAATAACGTATAAATATATAAATTAAGCGAATGTAGCAAATTCAATCTGAAAATAATTATAACCACGTCGTAACTACGAAATTACATCACGTTATAGGGGAACGATGTCATATGCGAGTTCACATTGTTAACGCCGATCACTTTTGCCAAGAGATCTCCGGGAGCGTAGAAATAATCGTCGATAATCGGTAAATTGCATATTTACAACAATCAACCAATCAAGATTGATAAGGGCGGAGCCCATTGCTTCGCAATAATGCGTCGTTCTATATCTGAGATAATCGTTACATGATCTATTTCGGAATCAGCACTATTATGATTCGTTTGCAAAATTTGTAGATCTAATCAGGGTTATCAGTAATCACGTGTGCTACAAGTTTGCTTTATTGGGGTTATATAATACGAAAATAAACTATAGACTATATTTCACATTAATCGATTCTCAACCTTTTTTTTCTCTCCGCCATATTTAACTTTCCCCACTGCTCCGCCTCTTTTAAAAGCCAGACGATTCGGCCTAAGATTCTACCTGCACCCTTATCCAGAGACTCCGATTCCTCCGTCCAATCCAAAACAGCTGGCGTTTCCGAATGCACGCTAATTTTTGGTTTATCACCATCCATAATAAACTCGACAAAATACCACACTCGGCCATCGGTAACGATTCCGTACGCCTTATCGGCAAACTCATCCTCGATCTCGTCATGCTTGCGCTTTCGATTAGTTTCGAGAGACGAATGTAGTTGGATTACGTTCTGAAAAATTATCAAAATATAAACATAGGTACAGTATATCTGTATGCAAAATGACGATTTATTCTACCTGGGCCATGCCTTGGTCAAAATCTTCTTTTTTTACTTCCACAACACCGATTATTACTCCAAGGAGTCTTAAGCAGAAATCGAGCGGACCTCGGCCATATTTTCCTGCAACATATAGTTGCGGATATAACTTTACTAATCCGTCAAAAAGCGATGTGGCCGTCACAAGAAAGGGGGAGACGTATTCACTCCGAGTGGCCTCCGTTTCACCATGTATCGCTTTATAACGAAGTCTCAGATCTTTGCAAAGGTGAGCCATCAAATCTTTTGCTTTTTCTGAATCGAGTTTGTCGATACCGCAATCGAAAGTGGGAAATTCATCAATGCCCGACGCCAGGCCAAGGAGTTCGCATACCTTACTGAGTTTCCAATCGGAGAATGGTTTTTGCACAGTATCGATTTGTACTTTGAGAGTAAAGGACGCCTGCACGGCACAAGACTTGAGATATTGCTGAAATGTGGCATCGTCTCCCAAACCTAACTCTTCACAATTCTTTTCATCAGCTTTGGCGAAACGTAGGGTTAAATCCTCAGGCTTTGTATCCTGCGGAAAAGGGAGGACTTCGAGGATGGATAACTTCATAGTATCGAGGGTCACTGTACTAATATCGACCGGCCACGAGAAAGTCTTGCGTTGCTTCCCATACGAAGCTTTAATCGTAAATACTCTGTGACTGTTCTTGAGTGATTCCAACTCCTTCTGAAGTTCTAGCTCACGGCTCGAAGTGGTGGTTGATACAGGTGGTTCAACTATGACGTGGATATGCCTTTTAAGTGGAGGTGATTTCTTGGTCCAGTAATCTCCTACGTCTCGAGTTGCAAGAAGTTCGACATCTAATGCAGGGTTGGCCAACTCGGAATCGCGATCGTCAGGAATTTTTACCTTCCATAACTTGAGTTTGTCAGCAGAAAAACTATCGAACTCTGGCGCCTTTTTCGCTTTGATAGCCTCCTTGAGTTTGCTAATAGACTTGCCCCTCTCAATATCAACTTCGAAAGCATTCGCGATCGTGTTTCCTTTGACAAGACAGAATAAAGTGACCGACATTTCGAGCTATATATGAACTTTTCGTGGAATGTTATTGGTTGGGGGTTGGCGGTTTCACAATACTATGACTACGTTACTTTTTTTTTCCGGGTGATCTGCAGGTCACACTATTACATCATGCATAAAAAGTTCCATGACCTTCTAATTTATTCTGTTGATCGATTTTTCAGGCATGTGACTTTTTACGTATGACACCGCATGTGTTACTTGTGAAAATCCGTTAATTTATTTTCTTGATTAGAACGAAATGTAAAGAACCAATATCGCAGATCAAATCTAGCCACTGTGTGACTGCCTCCAGCAAGACCATTCGCAGAAGAACCAATACCATGGGTTCTGATTTATAAATGTAAATCGATGCATTAGTAGTGGATTTAGTAATTAATATCAGTTATATTAGGGTTGCCGATCCACGACTTGATATGAAATTCATCGAACCAATGTTGTATATCGCCTTTAATATATAAAACTGGTTGAAAGCACTGGAGGTTTTGGTAAGAAAATACATTATCAGTGGAGCCGACATGGCCAAAACGTTCACTCAATAAATCAAAATATGATTAACCAATCTATCAACCGCAATATCAATAACCACAAGATGCAACTCAATATTTCCGATATATGTTTATTTGTGATTTTCGTCGCTGTGTTTGTGGTCTATGCATTTACTTGTCAAAGCGTATCGAAATTTGAAAAAGATATTTCAATATTAAAAAATAAACCTATCCAAATGCATATTGAAGCGGAATGGAGAAGTGAAGCCCAAAGCAAAGGTTTGTAAACTATTTTCGTGAGAATGACACTACGTTGAGATACGTAAGATTATGTATTTAACCCGAATTTTCTAACTAGGGCAAGCAACCGTACAAAGTTACGGATCTGAATACTCTACCGAAACTGAAATCCTTTATATTAAATTTACTGCCTCGAAAAAGGAGAAATGTTCACTTGCACAAATTTGCAATGCCTTGTCTGGAGAAATAGGTCTCGGTCTAACAACGGTTGCAAGTTTCTATCAACATCAAAAATCTCCACAACGCACATTATTATTTTTCTTTTGACGCAATTCTATTTCCTTCTGCAAGTCTAATGGAGTATCGAATCTTAACCGAATTGCTAAAGGATCATCCTCTGATCTAGTAAGATCAAATACAATAAATTCATTTTTTCGAAGGTAACTATACATAACCATTGATGCATTCTTAACATCATCAGTATATCATCCAATTATTTTAGACACGTCTTGATAAGAACTGCCCCTGTTAAATATTACTAGATGGGATAAATTCTCATGAATAATTACTGAGACATGATGATATTTTTGTGTTACATAGATTGGACTTATATTTCGATGACGCCCATGTGTGAAAAATGGAATAATTCGATTTTGTATCGACTCTGGAGCAACACACAAATCCTCAAAAATAATTACAGTACTTCTCTCAGGTGCAAATGATTTTACGCTAGGAATTTTTTCAGGTGAGATATATTTAAATCTAATATTTTCATAGTATGGTGCTCTTGGATTACTTGCAATTACTCCATACATATATCTAACAAACGCCCATTTAGGTTCATCCGAGTGATATCCACAAACTATCAAATCATCGCACTGTATATAGCGGGATCTACCCCTTTTCTCTTTATATATACATTCACCCTTGTCACTAACAAAAAGATTTCTGAGTATAAAAAATATAATATATAACTCTTTCTCGATCATACCAAAACTACCAAATTAGGAAATACCCAAGAAAACAAAATTTCGTCTCAAGGGAAAAACAAGGAGGAGGGAGGCCCTCCTCCCAAACCTCCCAACCCAAATCATGAATATACTCTTCTTGACATAGTCCTCGCTGATAACAAACAAAGGCTTCCTAAAGTCTCAATAATTTACAAAAACAACAAAACTTCACAAATTTTCGTCACAAA